CAGGGCAGCAGCGAGGGCGACAGACCCCGACCGACGGGGACTCCCGCCCTGTCTCCTGGAGCGGTTCCCAGCCAGCCGTGCGAGGAAGCAGCGCGCACACGGGCCTGCAGGAGTAACGGCTTTATTTCAGGAAGACTAGTTCTAGCAGAAAGGCTACATCGCCGCGCTCCTCCCTCTCGGCTCCCTCGTCGGTTGGTTTGAAAAAGCCCGTGCATGGGAGCTAGTGAGCGATCTCATGCTGGCGTCGGGGAGGCAGGAGGGGGACGTACAAGGCAAGGTACGAGAGTGGAGTTTCAAAGCACCATACACGAGTCGAGACAGCAGCCCCGTGGCTGGGCGCACGGCGTTATCCCGGACGGGTCAGAGCCTGGACAAACCTGCGGGGGCCCGGCCCCCTCCCCCCGGAAAATCTTCCCGCTCAGCCCCCCAGCTGGCCACTTGGACCCCCTGCGGGGGAGGCAGGAGCAGCTGGCGAACCCCACGTGCTGCCCAAGGTGGGGAGACCTCTAGTGCCCTCCAGGGGTGCTTTGGGTGAGAACAGCCCTTCGGCACAAGGGAGCCCCCCAATCCTGCCCGAGCGAGCGCCTGGATCCCTCGCTTCCTCCTCCAGCTGCACCCCCCACCCGCCTGGGCCCTCTCTGCTCAGACCCCTTCCTGTGCACGTTTGCGGCTGGCTCCGAGTTCCCAGGGCTGGGTCGCCCTGCGGGGGTTCAGCATCCCAGCCCATCCGCGGGGATTTACACCAGCAGGGCCTGGGCTGGGCTGCCCCGGGCAGATTTACCGCCCAAGGCTGCAGGCTCAAGGAGGCCAAATCCTGCCCCCCCCCGCCCCCACCGGAGTGTCAGGGAGGGGGGCACGGGGTGAAGGCGGCTCAGAACGTCTCCCCTTCCCTGCTGCTTTGAATTTTGACTCTGCTGGTGTCTCCAGTCTCGGGGGCTGCCCCCCTACCCTCAGTGCTGGCCCTGCACTGTCCCCTCCACCTGGCCGTGGCGATGTCCCAGGGGCATCTAGCGGTTGTGGGGTGGGGGAGGGCACTGGGCCCAGTTCCAGACCCACCTGGCATGCAAGAGTTCCAAGACTCCGGCAGGCGGGGTGTGCATCAGGCCCAGCCTCCCTCCCAGGGCCCAGCCCCGCAAACCCAGGAGCACGCCCGCCAGCCCTCCCCACCGTTGTGCTAGGTCAGAGCTCCGGGGGCGCCCGACATGTTGTGCTTCA